ATTAATAAAAATAACTAGGTAAGTAAAAATTAAAAATAACTTCTTACAATCTTAATAAACAATACAAATATTAAAGTTTTCAAACGCAAAGTAAAATGTTCAAAAAAAAAAAAAAAAATTAAAATATATTTAAAAATAAATATTTAATATTAAATTTATTTACTCACGACGAGTGTTTGGGTCCTACTCAGAATAATTGCAGCTGGTAGTACAATAGTTGTTATATATTGTTGTCCTCGTTATGCTACTATATTTTATTTTAGTTTTATTTTTTAGATAATAGATTTATTTTACAATGGCTTCTATCTCAATAAAAAATGTTTAACAATGGAATATGAAATTTAAAACAAAGTTATTGTAATAGAAAATTTTGAAAATTCATTCTAGACTCGAGATTAAAAAAGCAAAATGTTATATTTTCTTCCGAATTATTTTATTATAACTTATAAGTAATTGTTTAAATTATGCTTAATCATTTTTTTCTTTAGGTTAAGTAACCAATGTGATCAATATTTATGATAGATAGATAAGGTTAGATATTTTATATTAATTTAAATTTAAAGTATTTGCTCTGTATTATATTTATATAACCGTTATTAAGAAATTTCTGTTTTAGCTTCATTACACCATATTCTCCCTTTTTGATTTTAGCCTATACTTTTCTCTGAAATTGTAATTATTAAATTGTACAGATAAAAAAAAATTGCTCGTGTAAGGTTCTTAGCATCTGGTAGCAAATATCGCGTTTATAAATGCATTATATACATACGTACATTTTTTTTTAAGAAAAAGAAATTAATAAGCTTATAATAATAAAAATAACATTTTTTTTTTTTTTGTACATAATAATGTTTTAAAATAAAACGCACAAGTTAAATGTGTGTTTTAAAGCACATAATTATTTTTAATTACATTCTTCTAGGTTGGTATATAATACGTATAATTGAATTATAAATTTAAATGTAAAATCTTAATGAAATAAAAACAACGATATTATTATTGAATTATACAAATACATTGTATTGTATTAAAATATCAAGTTTGCACTATCTATGTGATATTTGGAATTGTCATCATAGTGATATTTTTTTTAAATTAATACAATTTCGTTTTATTTCAATAATAAATAGTAGGTAATCTTTGTTTTAGTTTATTCTGGGTTAAACAATTAATTTGATAACCCATTGAGTTAGTTTTAAAAAGTCAATACAAGATTAAAAAATAAAACTTTCAAATCGTGGATTGTGCAATTAATATAATACGCGCAAAGGAAAATTTCTATTTTAATTATATGAATGAATACATTTAATATCTTATTATTTACACAAAATAAAACACTAGCGATCATAGAAGACGTAAAATTACTAATATTGGTAGACACCTTTGTATTTACGGGTTAATATTTTATAAGATGTTAAGTGTTGATATTTTCCTTAAAATATCTCAACACACTCCTTAGTGAATTTAGTTTAGAGTTGGACATTTTTTTCTTCCGAATTTTATGATGATTATTGTTGATAAACAACTTTTGCGCCACAGTAGGAGATAAGAGGGCAAATTGGATACCTTAATGTGTGAATTATCATAAAATTCTTATTATTAACTCTAAACAGTCGAATTTATACAAATTTATCATAAATATAATGTAGTTTCATTAGAAAACATTTATTATTTTTGAAGTAGATTAATAATTAATAATTATAATTTTGTTTCTTAAAATTGGTAAAAATTTCAATATTTCAAAATGTTAAAGCTTATTTACTTATGGTTTATGTTGGTTTATAACATACTAACTCGGACAATCAAGCAAACCTATTTAATAATAATTGATATTCTACCGAACTTCATAGAAATTTGAGATTATTTCGTCGCAATTACTATAGCCACTTTTGATGCACTGTGCATTTTAAAATAATAGAAATCTTCGCCACGGGCAAATAGAACACAGCACACATTTTAAAAAACGAAGCATATAATAAATGAAATATATAGTTGCCTATGACATATATTGTACATCAGCTGTTGCTTTATTAGTTATCTACATACGATTAAATCAATTATTTGGAAAACACTGATAATTTTATGTTTATATAATACCTTATTACGTACATACGAATCCATTATGCTCGTTTATCGTTTGCATTTATTATTTATCATCATTACGATTATCAATTTCTTTGTAGATTTTTATTAATATATTTTTGTTTAATATGATATTATTATGTAATATCTCCATCGTTTTCCATTTTGTCAAATTTTTTCATCAATTTTCAAAAATAAATATATTTGAGTTTGATTTACTGAAGCTCAAATCAAAAGTATATTACATCAAACTTTTTTCCTCATTTCAGTCAAAACAACATATTATAAAGAATATGTCTTTTGCGTTAGAATAAAAAATATACCTATTATAAATTGGAAGTGTTTCAAATTTTTTACTTACAAACATAAATGTTATCGTAGATAAATCAAAAATAAACTAAAAAAGTCAACAACTTCCAATTGGTATTTCTTATTAGCACAAAAAGAGCAAAAATATTTTGCAATTAATTAATTTCTAGTTTATGTTAACTGTTAAAAATTTTAAGATAGTATCTTATAATCGTAAAATTAATTTTTGAATAACAATAAATATTCAAAATCGATTTTATCATAAACTAGATTTGCATAAATATTCCAGTTTTTTTCTGATTATTTTAAAAAGTAATGATTTTTTTTTTATTATTATCTCCGATTGAACCTACTAGATCCAACTAGTATTTGATGATTTTAAGGGTGATATTGGATACAAAAACACGCACATCATTGTAATATTACTTTGTACAGAAACTAAAATATATTAATCAATTAATTGATTTTTATTTTCAGGAGAGACACTTTGTTACTCGTGAGAAAATAAAATCTATTCTAAAAACAACCAACTTGAAATTGTAAGCAAATTGAAAATATTTTGTTTCCACCGTCTATATAGTTACTAAATCAAATTTAAAACGTCAGATTTAAAAAAAAAAAAAATCGAGAATAAAATTTATTAGTTTTTCATATTAATTTATTATTGTATTTTTTATTTTTTCTAGCATAACCAGTAAGAACATGTTACGCTTATCATGATTTCAAAAGAAAATGTTGCATATTAAAAAGAATAACATTTAATGTTGACGGTAGGAACAAACATAGTAAAAAAATCTCGTTTACCTACAGTTAGTAGTATTACTTATTTATGTACATACTAGCAATGAGTATAATACATAAATATAGATAAAAGTTAATATTTACTGGTGGCAAGCACTTATCAGTGCTCATTTGTTTAGAGGTGTCAATTATTTCAGTAATATTAAATTGAACAAATTAAATTTTTTGTATGCCAGTGTCGTATTTCAATTTATTCATAAATTACATAAGCGTAAGGAAGTCATAGTGTAATTAGTCTTCAAATAATTGAAAATTCTTTAAAATTTATCTTCAATAACTCTTTTTGATAGGAAAACGAATCTAATTGATACTTTTTTAGTGATATTTTCAATGATGAAGTACACTCAAATTTAATTGTACAGAAGTTGAATTACTTGTTGTCTATAGGTGCTTGGCTACTATAATTTTTAAATTATGAGAGCAATTATTAAATAAATATCGTAATTTAATATTTATATCTTTAAAGAGGAGCAAAAATGAATAAATTTATTAGTTTTTCATATTAATTTATTATTGTATTTTTTATTTTTTCTAGCATAACCAGTAAGAACATGTTACGCTTATCATGATTTCAAAAGAAAATGTTGCATATTAAAAAGAGCTCATTTTTTATTTTTTCTTTCATTATATTCAAAATATAATGTGTAAAGAAAAATTTCAAAGTAAAATTCTCCAGTTTACGGTATGCAATTTTTTTATTTGAAAATTATCAATATAACAAATTATTTTAATAACTTGAAACTTTCACCAATTATTTAAAATAGTGATATACAAATAACCAATTATACACTTAAGTTTTGAAAACAACTTTTGCATTTATAGCAGTTCAATAAACTTTTTTAAATAACACAAAATATTAAAATGTATTTTTAGTCTAATTACATTTTATAACATACTCTTAGATAATGTATTTTATTTAAAAGTGAACCCTACAAATTTTTATGTTTAAATGATTTAGTAATAATCAGTTAATATTCAAAAAGATATTGTTAAAACATATTTTGATAACTTGTATAATTTTAGGTCTGTAAAGGTCATAGGGTGTTGTTTATTTACGGGTTTAAGCTATATATTTACAAGATAGCGCTTGAGTTTCGATCCATATCTCATTATATAATATAAATCATTGTATACAATTATGATTTTTGAATTCATATTTGATATTTGTTTATTTTTAATATTCATTTTTTAGATTTAAACAATCTCAGTTGTAATTAAAAGACTCACGTAAAAACATAGACAATTTACTTTTGATTGTTTTTCAATTAAATATAATCGAACACGCTGGTAGTAAGGTGATTTAATCTCTGTACCTATTTAGTAATTTTTATTTCATGAAAAATAGTTGCTGTTGTATGAATAAACTTATTAAAGACTAAGTGTGCTTTTATATTATAGTTGATCTATTTACAAGTTCACACAATTATAATACTTTTTGTATGTAATTTTTATAATTTATTTATGAATTATTAAGTATTCAACGAACATAATAGTTATTATTAGTGTTATTCAAAGAAATAAAAACATGTTACTACGCTCCGAAAATCAACAATTAATTTTTTTAAACCATAATTGGTATTAAATGTCTAATTATTGCTCAAAAATTGACTAAATTTTAAATAAATGTGTTTTACGTATAATAATATCAGGAAGAATTAATGTTGAGACATTGCATTTTATTTTCAGTTGTTTAAAAACTTTATTTAGTATATAAGTATATAACACGCAAGGACCAATGAGAAGGACAGAGTTTTTTTTTTGGATATTCTTCGAGGTTTAAAAACTTAAATGAACAAAATAAAACTTACCGTATCAAACAATATACGGACGTCGTAGCTTTTTTGGTACAATTAAACGTGCCGAAGACGTTTATTTACCAACACCGGTCTCGTCAACGCATCGCACGCGACGAGGAATGATTTTCGTGACGTCGAAAAAAGGAAAACCGTGGAATTGCGGAAAAATCCTACTCGCGACGGAATGTAAATTTTTTTGGAATTTAATTTGACCGATGTATTTCGCCGTGTTTGCACGTCAATACATCGCAATATTATATAAGCTAGTAGTACTGAAACCGGCGTGATAAACGAAGACGAGCAATACCGGTGCGAGCGAGGGCTTACAATTGTCTTTACAACAATATAACATATAATACTACAAAGCGCGCGGCGTGTTGCGTTGCGCGCGTTTACACAGATATTGTATACGTCTAAGAACGATGACGACGATTATATACTAAAATGCACTACAATATAAGCGTATTAAACATTTATACACCGCGATCAGAGTGTGCGAAGATCTCGAATCGCGTAACGTACGGTATGTGTTCAATATTACTATTATTATTATTATGAAAAACCGGTGGTATCGGATCTACAGCGCGTTCACAGGTCGCCCGCCGACAATAATTCGATAGTAATAATAAATTGTTACTATAAAATATATGTATAGGTCGGTAGGTAGTGTCGTGGTACCTAGTACATTATATTTTGTACTCGGTCGAGGCGGGAGTGGGATAATCTCTCGGCCGCGATATATAAATACGATAATACAAAAAAATATATACAACGATACGCATATACAAGGTGATTTCATTAAAGATAATAATACGTATGTTGAACACTAATTTTCCGCGAAAATTATTGAAGTTTTTGAAAATCACGTGATATGGCATGTGCTAACGTTTTCGAAAAAAAGAAATAGTTACATTTTTTATCGTTTTTTTTTTTTAAATTTTTTATTTTTAAACATGACAGCATACAATTTTAATTTCGAGTGATTTTTTTTGAGAATTTCGATATACGTATGGCATAAAAATCGATTTTCGAAACCAGTAGTTATAATTACTACAACTAGTCATAAATATATTTTAACGTATAGATAAGCGCGGAGTATGGACTAATATATTATTTTGTCTGGCGCACCCTCTCTCCTGGCCGGTGCCGTACCGCACCGCACCGCACCGCTCGTTTAAACTGAAATATCTATAAGTAATGATAATTTACTATTCGGTCGAAATGAAAAATGAAAAATGTACGCTGTCATTTGAAAAAAAAAAAACACACACACAAAAAATGATACCGATAAACGTAAGGCAGTAAAACTACGCAGTAAAAACTATATAAAACTACTTTTTCAAAACCATAATTATTGATATGCAATGGCTTAAATTATGTACATTGTACATGTATAGAAAATAATCTAAAGACTTCAATACTTTTCGAGATAATGAATGTTTACATTTAAAATTATCACCCTGTATAATATACATATGTATGTGTGTGCCGTGTGCGTATACCATACGGGTATTACAATAATAATAAAAATATAAAACTGCGAGCGGACCTTGAGACTACGTGAACAACGGAGATCACCGGTTTTTTTTTACCGTTTTCGTGCGAAATTCTCGACAGACCAGCAAGTCGCACGGGGCTCTCTCGTCGAAAATATTATTTTTTTAACCCGTGCGAGTCAGTCACATCTTGTTTCGGACAGTAACACTGGTGCGTCGTAAAAATAAAAGAAAAAAATACGACAACACACCGTTTTTGTACGATTGATTCCGCGTGTTTGACGTAAAAAAAATAATTGTCGTACGATTCGGCCACGTGACCGTATTATAAAAATATTATATTGCGATGAATCGCAATGAACGCGTAATAAACACGACGCGAATATTGTGACGAGTTGCGTTTTTTTTTTCACCGCCAAATATCATCGTAGCTTGCAGGCGGCGACTCTCGTGTAGGGTATTTTAACCGCGGAAAATACAACGGCGATGGTCTGCCGCTCGCACGCGATCCGACGAGAAACATTAACATTTAAAACGTAGCCGCGTAGGAATGGCGGTAACGTTTACAGTACAAACGACGAAAGTTTACAGACAACTCCGTGTAATTTACTAATAATCCGGTCATTTAAATAACGGAGAGCCGACATGTACGAGGTTTTTTGCACACACTTCCGCTGTACTAACGTTAATATTATTTTCTTTGCCGTGTTAATATTATTACCGGATAAGCTAAGTCCTATTTTTAAAGGTATCCTGTTAGCGTTATTATTACGTGAATACAACATTAATGTTTCCATACCTAATTTTTAATACACTAAGTTTATTGTAATTTTTCAAATTTTTGTTTACATATTTTGTTATATCTGATTTAATCTGAACTCAACTCACCCGCATTCAAGCGTTTGCTTATAGGATAGGTTACAATTTTTGTATATCGTGTTAAATTTTTGTTATTGCGATAAACTATTATTGATTTTATTATCATAAATGGTTTGAAAAAGTCTAGTCCTCCGATTGCTGCAGATCGGTCCTTCTGCGTTTGTACTATTAATAATTCGTTAATTCGTTCGCTATTCTAAATACGTGTAATTTATATTGAGAAACATGTAAATCATACAATTGAACTTGTTTGGCTATTGTAATGACTATGCCTATGCACAGCCAGCTGCAAGGTTGTCACCTGACACCTATCACTTTTTCAGTTTTTACGCGCATTTTGCAAGCACCTCATCTGGCGTGTATTCACATACAACAAGACGCGGTTGTAACTAATACATGCGCGTATGTTTAACATTTCATACACGCAATCGTGTTAAAATTTAAAAGCGTCAACGATTAAAATGATTTACCATTGATATGATCTATGTAAAATATAGTAAGCTTATTAATTTACCTAAAAAAAATAAATAAATACTACCTATATATTATTATGACTATTAATTTAACGACGACAAGTGATGTGTATGCGGAAATCGAATTGACGCCAATTATATTATGAAGGTAAATAGAATACAATAATTATGCTCAATGTTAAATTATTCCGCAAAACGAAACTCATAAAATCAATACAGTTTACATGCATCATTATCGAGCTGCGTGTAACCTGTAACCTTATAGTCTATGCCCTATGGTGCCTAATGCTTATCCTATCCACATTCCACGGGCACAAAATACAGTAAGACGACCACTCCAGATTGAGGAGAAATTTAAAATTAAAATTTTTTTTTTTTGTTTGTTTATATGTTTTAATGTTAATCTAATGTAATTAATGGAGTAAATTGGATTAAATTGTTTTATAATTCACGGAAAACTAACACGTGATTTTATAGAATGGCTAAGTTCACAGATTCGGTCAATGTGTTTTTATTGATATTAAATTACGCGAATTAACTTAAAATTTATATCATACACATTTTATTTCAAAAAATAAATTTAGTTTTCACGTATAATTATAATTTGTGACACGTAATCAATTTTTGTGTGCTGCATTACCTATTTAAAAAGAAATTAAGTAAATAATATATCATGTGCATGTCTCTAAACAATATTATGTATGTCGACTTTCAAGGTCACGTGCGATTTTATTTAGAAAACAATTTATTTTTTACTGTTACAAATCTATGAACTATGCACTTTAAATCTAATGAGTTCGAGTTAAAACATTTATTTTTAATTCATAAACTTATCTTAAATGATTTAACCTTTTACTACAAGAATTCATGTTAATACAATATTTTTCTATATAAAAACTTGGCAAATGTAAAATATCTTGTCAGAAAAATATTATTTGTTTTCTAAATGGGTTTCACACACAAAGAACTATTTTAATTGCAAATTTATTGGAATATGGCAAAAATAATAAATTATAATTATAATATCCATAACACATACGTGTTTCATCAAAAACCTACAGTAATAAAAAAAACCTACAGTACCACCCCCACAGCTAATGGCCCTAGTTGCCGAAGCTTAAAAAAAAAATAAAAAAATATTCATAAATATTATGCAAGTGTCAAAGTTTTATTATTTTTTATCGTGATCATTTTATGTATGGTTCGGTAGAGTTATAAACGTCTTGCGTACAATTTTTAATTTAACTTAATTTAAGTGAACGGTTCTATATGATTTGGTTTAAGTATTTATTGTGCGATTAATATAGATAAAAATATACAGACTGCATCTTATAAATTATATGTGTATGATAATTTATAATCAATTTATTACTCCGATTTCAGCACTGTGGAGGTAACTATATATTATAATTGAAGTAAATTTTGAGAAAATATGAAAAATAACACTGTAATATATGGTATGTATTCTGTAAAATACTAAAAACTTAACTTTCAAAAATTCACTATTTTTGAAAAAAAATTCATATGAGGGAGAGCTTAACAATGTAAGACCAAATATATATTACACTGAGGTACCTATAATAAAAATTGATTCACTAAACATATTCACTTCCTTTTTTTTTTTACAATAATGCGATTATTAAAAATGTAAGTTTCGGAACTTTTAAAATATACTTAAAGATTATATATTAAAATTCTTACAAATTTTCGTACTACTTATAAAGAATGTTTTATGGAGATATAAACTTTTGTTTTACAAAAAAAACCTCTTTGCTATTGTAAATTATTCAGCAGATATTTTTTCTTAAAATTTTAAAGTATAAAAATTAAAATTCATACTAGTTTTTATAATAAAAAATACTAAATCAAATATCACATATTTTTATATTTTCGTAAAACTATTTGTATAGACTATTGTCTTTAGTCTTTTGTACAAATTTTTAATTTGATACATCAAAATTTTCAGAAAAATAGTCTACTAAAAAATTTACAGTAAAAAAAAAGGAGTTTTCATTTAAAAACCAGAAGTTAGTATTGACCTAGTATACATATTCTTTAAGTAATATAAAAAAAAAAAACAAAAAAATTGTTACTAAATGAAAAATAGGGGTGAGTATTTTTAGTGAACTACTCTGTATAGACTTCTATTAAGATAAATTGGTATTATATTTAGCGTTTATCTTATATTAGTTATAACTGTTACTATTTAAAACTTATACTTAACTAACAAGTTCAGGTATCGTTTAAATCACCATGCACTTGATATATTAAAAAAGCTTCTAGGCTTATTATAAATTGATTTTTATTATATAGCAATTGTATATGTGTAAATACTAGTACGTGTGCGTATTATTGGTCAATCTTATTAATCGTTGAATTTAACCCTTAGTGATGAAATAAATGATAATAAAACCATAGTGATTTTGGGATTAAAATATAAATATTCAAAACAATAATATGCATCTGCAATGACGACTGACGAGAATAGTGATTAAAAGATTAAAAAACTAACTAAAAATGTAATAGATCTTATCGTAAATAGGTATATCTATGTCGTCTATGAGGTCAAAATAATGTATATTAGTATAATATTTCGATTCATCATTTAATAATA